GAGAAAGTTTGGACATTTTTGGCTAGTCGCCAGTCCATAAATCGGCTTAACTCAGCTTCATACCTGCTTCTGGATTTTGTGGGCAGCAGTTCCGAACATATTTCGCTTGCTTTCTGTAAAATCTCTTCAGAATCACACATTTTCACACCCAAACTTCGGGAATTCAACAATTTTTGAAGTATCTAATCAACAAAATAAAGGAGCCGTGACGGTTGCTATGAAACTCAGCCAACTTGAAACATTGCATAATTTGGGTGACAACATCAAACAAAAATCACAATCTGGAGACGCGTGTGGAAAGATGACATAACCGTGTGCAAAATGTTTAGCACACGGCGTGTGCAAAATACCGTTTTCAGAGCGTGTTTTCCGTGCTCAAAACCCCCTTTTGCAAGGCAGTCATATAAAAAGTATATTAATCCTGATTAATATGCATTCACCTTAAAATATTTTAACGCCAAATTTCATTAACAAAAATATTCATCTTTTTGGGTGTTAACTCTGGGATTTTTGAAGTAGGAATATTCGTACTTGCAAGTGCAATTTGTTTGTTTTGTTCTCTTAAATTAGTAATTTTAAAGTTACTCTCGATTTATCCAAATGTGATAACTTATTGCATATTTAAAAAAATGATTATTCTAATATGGTTCGATTTACAAATAAATGGGAGACATTTTTACTTTGAAACACAATTAGGAACCAAATGCTTCTTTCCCAAACTTTCAAAAGATCTTTGATCAATGACTATTTTACCAGCAATTTCCAAAATGCTAGAGGGACATAGGACATATCTATAATTAAATTTATTAATATTTATGTTACAATAAATACATCATTCTACCAAAACTAAGTAAATGTGTTAAAAAAAATTAATTCGAAAGTTTAAACTCGAAATTTCGATTTGATTCTTGAAACATGAACCTAAACAAAATGATTACGGACTTGGGTCTATATTAACGCGAACACGTTTCATATTACAAATGGCTCTATTACAATATGTAGCAAATTAAATTATCGGGAAAACGGTAACTTTAAAACACCAACAACATAAAGGCCTAGTGAATGATGATTAATCGTTAAAATAAAAACTATAGAGGTAGTTATACTCGACGGTGCCCTATTAAATTGATTACAGTATACCGCTTTAGTTTCACGTAGAAAATACAGATGCAAGTAAATACATTTTCATGCTGCCAGATAAAAATTGCGGTAAAACAGTTACTTTAAATGTCGCTTCTGAACGATAAATTGCACTTCAGGAACTTCGACGTCAAGTGATAATTAATGAACCCGGACTTGATCAAAACAGATCGGCAAATGGATCTGGCGGTTGCGCGCGGACATGTAATAATTAATGTTTCTTTTTTCACACGTCGCAAAGATGGTGAGTGATTAGGAAATAATAATAATATTCCCTTCAGTCAGTTGTGAAAACAGATGTACCTATTGGTAGTCTAATATCTAGGCAATTATTTAGTTAGGAGTTACAATTTAACGAATGTGGAAACATGGACCATTTGCAAATTTCATTTAAACGAATATATCTCTTTAATTGCTATTTTAAAAGATATTTACGTACTGAAAATTACGATTCCAGAATACTATATAAAAAAGTTGGTGGTTACATAGGAGTTTGTAAAATTTATTGGTATAAGATCGTAGGAGTTCTTAAAAAATGTCAGACTAAAACGAAAACTTTACTTACACGTGTGTGTTTACGCTATCTACGCTTTGTTTTTACGAATTCCCCATGGGTTCAAAATAATTTGTGCCATTTACTTTGATTAATACTAGAGATCGGAAAGATTAGAGCGGCTGCAATGTGGTACAGGGTTGGCTGTAGGCCATCTTTCACGTAATTTTATTCAAACAAAAAATGACACAATCGTTGCCTTGTTTAACTGCAGAAAATAATTAACAGTTGGCCTAAGTGTTCCGCAGATAATCGTTAATAAGAAAATGACCGTTCAGCATTTACCGAGGTCACAAGCACATATCTAAAATAGCCGAAGTTTTTAATAGATGCTATTTTTACTAATGGTAGTGAAGCATTAACTACTTCACATTTTAGTAATCCCACTCTCCGCGTCATTGTCTTTCTCTGATCTGAAGCTTCGCATCGATCAATTTATTCGATACGTACCTAGCGGTGCCCTGACGGTCTGATCTGCCGATGAACAATCCAAATTTTTTTGCTGAGGAACGTTAGTCGCCCATTTCATTGTAGTTGGTGCATGCGTGAGTGAGTGAGTTTGGGGCTTTGCTTGATCGAGTGTATGGCACGTCCTTTTATGGCAGTCAGTAGCATTGTGTATCGTGAGCATAGAGCGGCACACGGCTTGACCATAGATTTAGCCTATTTCTGCTACTACAACGAGTATTGCCGCTTACTATAGTCTGTTTAGAAATGAAAGAGAGTAATAAAAGCTTATTATGTATGCAAATCGTAAATAAATGTAGTACTAGTGCTTATATTCAATATTTTTATATTATGTATTATCGGTATAGATGAGATATACTTTTAAAAAAACTTTGTGTGACCGGGTTGTACTAAATTGTAGCAGATAGCTAAAATTTAATCCCCGACAATCCGTCTTTGTCTATGCCGCTTCAATTTATCGGTTAAGTAAACAATATAAAACAGCATTCCAAAACATGAGGCTACTTTAAACATCATAACCGGGTTAAGAGGGTTTTTAGTAATTCAAATAAAATTATTCAATATTATTATCAAAATATTTAAATTTAATGAATAGACATTTATTCCACACAAAAATATACGTATTTTGAAAATTAAAAATTATGGTGAGTAAATGTAGTGTTGTATAAATGTACAATAAAGAAAATAAAAAAGTAGGTATATTAAAATTCATCCTCTGAATATTCTGATGAATTATCTTCGTCTCCTAGATTGATAACGATAGGTTCCACAGTAATGTCAATTAAATTATCGAATTCCCACATTTTTTCCTCTTCTTTTTGTACATGATGTATTCATCTTTGCCAGTTATCTGCAGTTACTCGTTCCAAGGAATTTTTTAACAAAATTTTCACGTCACTTAATTTAAACGTCGTATTATTTCGCGCTACATCTCCTTTTACCTGCGGCCAGACTAATTCGATTGGGTTAAGTTCACAGTGATAAGGTGGTAACCGTAGTGCCGTTATTTGGCGATTTGTTGCCATTTCATGGATAACATATTTTTTCTGATCTTTATTAAGATTAACAAGTGTCAAAAGTTCCATTTTCACCATATTTGTTTCAAAAGAAATGTTTTTTCCGGATAACCATTGAATTATATCGGCTTTCCTCCAAGAAGTCGTAGGCGTCCGCTCGGTCTGCCGTGAATGGTAACTGGCATTATCCATGACAATTACAGACCCCGGAGGAATAAGATCCAACATCTGTGTAAAATACTCTTCGAACATCTGCGTTCATGTCTTCGTGATAGTACGAGTGTACTATATAGTATGAGTGTACTTTTCTGCGAATGACATTTTTGAAGAAATCATCTATAACGACTTTTGACCACCCTGTAGATGATTTTGGGGGATTTACAGTATCTTGTTCATTTTTGGTTTCCTTTAAAAGTCTGTAGATAGTCGATTTTCCAATCCCTGTCATTTTGGACCACTTTTTCACGATGTCGTCAACACTGTTGGTAGGATTTTGGTGTTTCAATGCATTAAATACATTTAATATAATAATCTTCTCATTCTGAGACAGCGCACATATTTTCACGCGTTTAGCAGGTACGTAATATGATATGATAAGCTCGACATTTTACCCAAACAATATTATATCCACTGGCACAATAGTCACTAAACACAAGTCGAATTTTACTCTACTGCACTAGCACGTCTTCGTATATTCAGCTCTAAGACTGGATTGATCTGTCACAATACACTGGCTCCTGCCCTATGATGTATCCAGTAAAATATACTAATGTACACCCATTACCTGTTAGCATTAGTGTTACCCGATAATTACCTGAAACGAAATATTACCACGCCCATGGCCGGTTCTTATCTCGGGGTTTTATTACTCTCTTTCATTTCCAAACAGACTATAGTAGACTATTTATTTGATTGTCGCCACAATGTTTTCGATATCTAATTGTTACTGATTTATTATTACTATACATACGTACATTTCCGCACAAGTAATTGATAGTATAAAAGTATTGTTACAAAAAAAATATTTAAAGATATCAAATCGCAATGCGGGTATATCTTATTATGCAAATAAATGTTACATTCTGATACTAATGATTTAACACAATGTTGAGTCAGCTGGCTACCTAAGGTAAATTTTGTGTAACTTTAATTTTGTCGGCGTCTTTTAGACATTTTGAAGATTATAATTAATTTTCAAATTTACCATAGATTTAATTAACTTTTGTTATGTAATAATTTTCTATAAATCTGAAAAGTATTACTCATTTTTCTTGCTTTACATTTATATATTCGTATAAACAATATAGGTGAAAAGCATCAAACGTTATTTATCTGTAGGGTAAATAAAAGAAAACGTTACAATACTAATGAAAAGGCTTAATCTTTTTCATAAACAACATAACTCAGGATTTTATATAATTTCACTTCAACAGCGACAGACAAAATTTCTTTGATTACAAAATATATAAATTTGTACAATACAAAATTATTAAAACCTTTTACAAAGAAATACGTCTTCGTAACTGCAAAACACAGTATTCGCTGCAAGCTGCTACGGTTTTTCTACCTCGGATGTCGAATGCGATTAATTCCAAAAAAATGAAAATGAAATTCTATGTCAACAAATATTTTACGTAATGTAGATATAAATTGTAGAATTCAACTGGACAATATTATTATACCATATTTGTTCATCAAAAAATGAGAAATATCGAAAAAATAGAAAAAATCCTTTAATACTAGTTTATTTAATGTGTCATTTGAAAAAACGCTTTTAATTACGTAAATTCTTTTAAAAACTACAATCAAAATTTCGTTTTCAGGTGCCCTTGCAGCGCAGGGGGAAGCGGGCCACAAAGCTCCTTCTTGCCCCCTCATCCACGGGCCACTGAGGCACTACATCCTGAACGCGCTCTGGATAGCTGTGAATTTAGTGTGCGTTTTCCTGACGCTGTTCCACTTACGGAAACTTCACAGGGACCTCACCAAAGCCAACGTGGAAGCCGTTCGGGTGGCTGGGCTAGTGACGACCCTTGTGAACGTCACCGGAGGAAGTCCGGGGCAGATGAACGCCAATGGCGCGCAGGTATGTAGATTTTTAATTTTTATTTCTACAAAATTCGCTTGAGACTGAAAAATTATAAGAGTCTCGTTGCGACCATTTCAGAGAATATTGCAATAATTATGTAACTGTGTCCTTGAGCACTCACCACTTATTTAGGCAATATTTCTAGTAATAACTTAATTCGAAATAAAATGTTCAAAATTCAAGTTACATTTGAATAAGAGCAGTGTTGGGCATTAAACAATTAAATTTTCAATGAATTAATTACACAGGCCAACAAGGAAAAAATTCCAGAGATCAGACAATACGTTTCCGAATGCATTTGGCGCGTTGAATCCGAATCTGGCCTCAGAATTGATCGATCACCCTAGGTTTCCGAGATATTCTAACCTAAAAGTGCAAAAACACGTATTTTTGCTATTTTCAAGGTTATGTAACTTGGCGAAAAAATTTTTTCTCAAAACTGAAAATAACATTGGAAACTACTATCTTTCCCCTTCAAAACGCATTTTTTTATTTGTAAAAAGCTTTATTTTTCGCGGAGATATCGTCGATTAAAGATGATCAGTATAGCTACCTTATTACCATGGCTCGACCTATAACACAATATCACTAAGCGCTACGAGCCTTATATGTCAGGAAGGTTAACCCCAATAACCCAAATAACCCAATAACCCAATAGGGCTTGGGATTAACCTTCCAGACATATAGGGCTTGGGGTTAACCTTCCTGACGATTAGGGCTCGCAGCGCTTAGTGTTATTGGGTTATAGGGCTTGAAGTTAACCTTCCTGACGATGAGGGCTTGCTCCGTTTAGTGTTGTGGGGTTATAGGGCTTGGGGTTAACGTTCCTAACAATTAGGGCTAGCAGCGCTCAGTGTTATGGGGTTAGCCATGATGTAATAATATAGCCATACTGGTCATCTTAAATTGACGATATCTCCGCGAAAAATAGAGCTTTTTCCAAATAAAAAAATGCGTTTTGAAGGGGAAAGATAGTCGTTTCCAATGATGTTTTCAGTTTTGAAATTTTTCGCCAAGTTACATAACCTTGAATATAGCAAAAGTACGTGTTTTTTACACTTTTAGGTTAGAATATCTCGGAAACCTAGGGTGATGGATCAATTCTGAGGCCAGATTCGGATTCAGCGCGCCAAATGCCTTCGGAAGCATAGTGTCTGATTTCTGAATTTTTTTTTTTTGAAATTTTGTCGGCCTGTGTTATTAATTGATTAAAAAAGTAATTGCGATTAATTTAATTGCAGTTAAAATTAATTGCAATTGCACGTTGTAATTAATTTATTTGGATTAATCTATATTAATTGTATCTTGCAACTAAATCAATTACAATTAACTTTTGTTGTTCTAAAAAACAATTAACACTATAACAATTATCCGGCTTCGATACCACGAGACATTTTTTCCTTTCCCTCAATGGCTAATCTGCCAAAGAGGCATGAATCGTCAGACAGCGTTTACAGTCTGTACGATATTTGTTGAGAGAGAATTCCAAGAAGACGCCTGCGTCACTTTCTTGGAATGAACCGCATTCGACACCCGAGGCAGAAAGACATTGGCGGCGTGGCGTTCACCATAGCAGCGTACAGTGCGTACTGTATTTTGCAGTTACGAAAGCCTTTATTCGTAAGTGTATCGTCCTGTGCATTTTCAATATAATTTCTTATTAAAATAAATCAATGAAAGTGAAAATAAAAAAAAAATAATTTAATTCCCAGTCAAAGAGTATCGTTTATATTTTAATATTCTGAAAATAATGCGGAAAATCACAAAGCACGCCGCTGGCGCGGTAAATTGTTATAGTAATTCCGATAACAGAACTTTACTGGCTTATTCTTTTCTTGGAATTCTATTTCAACAAATATTGTACCTACGGACTATGGCTCTACTCTCTTTCGTTGATATCAGAATTAAGTCGTGAGAATTTAAACCTGGAGTTTTTGAATACACTCTCTTTAGACAAAATAATGGTTTTTTGTAATGTTTAAGGCAGTAATGTACGTTCATGACTGTTTTATTTAATTGGGTATTTCTGCCATCCTGAAAAGAAAATGTTTTACAGAAATACTCATTTGTGCCAAAAGGATCAGTGAGAACATTTTAGTGCTTTTAAAGCTTTTACGGCCCGTGGTGATATTAAAAGTCACCACCAGTTACAAATTTACAAAGCACTCCTGAACCTTAGCTAGGAATCTGTGACATTCCCTTGTTGTTCTCGGGCTGTTCTGTAGAGGCGGACCCGCTACTAGACACCCTAAGCCCGTCCTGATGTCAATTTCTACATCTTCAGTGATGACCACGGAAAAATGTTTGGAAACATTGGATGCGATCAGTTACAAGAACCCCTACGGAACGTCTCAGAGGATCACCGAGGAATGATGTAAAATGCATCTTCAATTGTAAGTCTGAATTTCTCGAAAACTGTCGATTTGTCAAAATTAAATGAGAGTAATTAGGTAAAAATAAAACATTGGGGATTTGGAGACGAAATAATAAGAATTGAAAACTGCATAAGAATGTTCCAAAAGGTATGCAGGATTTGAATTGAGCGTCATTTTCATTCCTAAGAGTTGGCAGCAATGTGCAGAGTCACATGTTCTAGTACACACGTTGCGATTAGACAAAATGGAGCGCCATACGACGGATAGGCGAGTGAAAATTACGCAAATTCATTACAAGTACAGAGAGTGTGTAGCTGAGACTGTGCGCAAATTACGTAGAATTTTCGATAGAGAGAACGCCCCGAATGAAACAACTGTGCAAAGATTAGATGGCAAAATTGAGAAAACAGGTTCGATTGCAGACAATAAAAAAACAGGCTGACCTCGTACTAGCCGTTCTGTCGAAAATATTGTTACGGTGAGCTATAGTGTGGAGGAAATTTGCGTAACCTTTTAACAAAAGATCTTCATCCATTCAAGATTCAGCTAATCCAGAAATTGAAATCTAACGACGGACACTGGTTGATTGGATGTTGGAAAATCAACAAGTGGACGGTGATTTTGCTGAGATAATCTTTAGCGACGAGGCGCAATTCCATCCAAGTGGGTCGTGAACAAGCAAAATTGTCGAATCTACCATTCATATTTAAAAGGATGCATTTCCTTTATCCATTTTCAGAAGAAAGTTTAAGGATGTTCCAAAAAATAAATGCAAACAACTTAGGAGGTGACAGAATATCAGAAAATAGAACATTTTCATCGTGATTTATTTTTGAAGTGTAGGAGTATCAAAGATGATTTCTAAAATTTTTTCTATTCCCCCTAGTGAAACATTATGACATAAGAGTTTTTAAGGTTAGGATTTTTACAGTATACTCGTATATTATGTATAATAAATGCGGTCAATTTTACCGCTAGATTAACAAAAAAAGACTATCCTAAAACAAACACAGCATGTGTCTACTCGGTTACGAAACACTTCCCTGGGTAAACAGCTTGAATTTATGAATGGATATTAGCTGTGAAAATATTCCAGATTAATCTCTCACATCTTGTGGAGTTGCAGAAAGCACTTTGTACGCCGGAATTACGTTAAAAGCACATGTTCCATTTTATCCCGCGAACATTAACTGAAAATATCAACTGTAGAGAGGTTTATCTGGGTATAATCATAACACGTTCTGGATACATTAATTATTGGTTAAGGTAATGGGTGAAGGGTAGGTGCGTAACCGCATTAATAATTCAACAAGCTACGTATGCTTACTTTGGTTAATTGTCTATAATTATACAGCAATTTGCCTGACATATCTAAAATAAATGTCACTGTTTTGTATGAAACACACAAGTAATTGTCTGAAAGTATTTATTTGTGGTATGTGTTAAATAAATAATTACAAACTCACATTTGACAGTTTTAGTCAAAAAAGATCGTTTGGAAAATAGAAAAATAGAAACATATTTGAAACGCAAACAACATGAAAAGTATCTTATAATGATATACCGAATGTCCTAATATACTTTGTACATGGAACTGCAACATATTCTTAGGATCAAAATATGACGATTTAAAACCTAGGTACCTCCATCCAAAGTTGTTAATTAACGGCTAAAAGGTATCCAAATTGCCCAACAGTTTCAAAATTCTGTCCTGAATTAAATAAAAAAATTTGACATACTAACACTAGTAGCAGAAATAATTGAATTGAATAATTGAACAGTTAAAAAGAAAATATTTTGCGCTTATCAAGAAAATAATATTTACCATACTTACCTCAAAAAGTTGCTATAAACATTTCTTTTTTTTTCGAGATTAAAAAAGGGAGGAAGTAGCCAATATAAAAAACAAATGTACAACTAAATATACTCTAAAGTTAAAAAATTCGGCTTGTGTTCAAATACACAAGAATATAGTTTTAGGCTGGACAAAAAATTATGAGTTTTGATTTAAGAAACATAGAAATTTAAAAAAAAATTAGATAAATTTGGAACGAAGATTCATTGAAGATGAATTTTTCGAGACAAAACGTCTGAATTGGACTGAGGCAGTACAGTACTGGGGGCCATGAAGGCTTTCAAAAAATGTAAAAAAAATCTAGGGTCGTATTTAAAAAAATGAAGTTGATGATGGTCCTGGAGAGACGAAACGTTACATATAAAAATTGATTATGCCATTCGATAGAGGGCAAAAAGTTGCCACGAGAAAGTGTTCTTCTTTTTACAATAATACCTCAAACAAGGCTGAAATTAAACAAAAACGGATTTCAAAAATTTCCATTTTTTTCAAATATTTCGAAAACTAATCCTGTTAGCCTTGATTTTTTAGAAGCATAATGTTGGTCCCCTCATAACGCAACTTGGCCCCCATTTAAGCTACTTCGCACCTCTTACCGTTTCCGAGATCCCTGTAGTGAGAAGCGAATTTATAACAGCCTGTATATGTGTAGATATAGAATATTTGAAATTATTTCTATTTACGGGGCATGTGTTTGTTTAAATGCTATTTGATAACCACCGAGACTAGAGGTATTCAAATTTTTCTGATTCAATCGATATGCTAAA